GTGTCAGACAGCAGAGACGTTGACCTGACGCTGACCAGCATCCGATCATCACACACCGAACGTATTCGGTCCCAAAAATCCTTCTCTAGAACCTTTCTATTGTTGACCGGACTCTGCCTTACTCGCGTCCGGTCACAACCTCTTCTGCGTCTGGTCCTGCATCAACAGCAAAACCCGCTGCTACAGTTGGTCATCACCTACGTGTCCGATCTAGGCAAGGAGCCATCGTCTGATCGATGGGTAAACCCTAGCTGCGCGAGCTAACACTGACCGAACGCGACACCTGTGCGTCCGGTCTAGTGTCCGATCATCATCCAAGTCTCCATTCACCTCAAATTCGACCAACTTTGTGAACGACATCGACTTTAACTGAACTATGGGCTATCCCTGAGCTACCTAGTGCTAAGTTTGATAAGTATGCACCACACCTAAACCATTAGACTCACCTAGGTAAAGCTACTAGTTCATATCCCACTTAATAGTATGGTCAAAGGAAAAAACAAAGTCCTAAACTACTCTAAGTGTCTCTCTAACGCCAAACGACACTTAGAACTAGTCCGTCCTTAACCTTATCGTCCATCCTTTGAAAACTAAAATGATTTCCATCGATAGGGGCATGAAAACCATAATTGCCCAATCAATCATCATTACCATGACCTAACTCAAATTGCCTCTGCAAAACACACGTTAGTCACATTAATCTCGTGTCATCATTAATCACCGAAACCCAACTAGGGGCCTAGATGCTTTCACAAGGAAAGGCTTCAAGGTACTAAGCAAGGGTGAAGGGCAAGTGGTGGCTTAGCAACCGAGGAACCTAGCTAGGGTGAAGAAGGAAGTACTTGTATTTAGTTAAAGTACCAATCAAACCTTGATGGTCACATTGATTTGGAGGATCAAATCTTGGATAAAGTGTTGGAAGTGACTTGATGCATTTGGAGTTAACTCATATTTATTGAATGGAATTAAGTCACATGCTCAAGATGGCTATGCTCAAGGAGAAAATCAAGGTCGACATGTTGACACCCTCACTTGATGATGTTTGAAGGCTATGGTATTTGGTTTGAAGGAAATCCACTCAAGCGTTTCAAACTCCATTTTCATTTGATCTTGAGTTAATAGGTATGACATACTATTAAGAGGGATGCATAATGTTGATAGATACTTATTCATAAGTGCTCAAGCCAACCTGTCGAATACTAGAAAATGGGGTACCCCAAGCAAAGATCGAAAAACTGCTTAGACCCTAAGAACAGAACCAACGGAATAAACAAACGAGGTCTCGGCCGAAATCTCCGATTCGCCCGAGACCCCATCGCCGAGCCCCGACGAAAGCGAACGATTCTCCCACTCGCCCGAGACCGCCTCGCCGAGGCCCCCTCGTCGAGGCCCCCTCGCCCGGGGCCTCGGAAGAAGTGCCGATTCTCCAATTCGCGTGAGGCCGGCTCGGCACCAGCCCCGTGACCGCCTCTTCGACCAAACTGCTCTGACCGAACGTCACATCCAAGTGCCCAACCACTCCGATAGACGCACGATGGCACAAGACAGCAAGTGATGGACTACACGCTTAGTCGCGTCAACCTCCGCCATCTGACGACGGCGAGCAAGGTTACTGACCACCTTGTGCCGCCTAACTCACGCACACCAAGGACTAACTAACTGCATCAAGGACATTGCAACGTGAGTCGAATGGGTTCCAGAGCCTCGGAATCGGTGACCGACCGCTCCGTCTCGCCCGAGCCCCCTCGACAGGGGCCTCGGATTCACCGATCTTACTCCGCCGCCTGTTTCGCCTCGCCGAGACCCCCTGGTAGGGCCTCGGACGGTGGCGCTCTCCGCGCCGAGGCCGAGGCACAAATCTGCCTCTGCAACCTCGTCGCCTCCGCCTCAAAGGTCTCTCCGGCAGTCGTCATGATCCGATTAACGCGCCATTTGCACCCGCCACGTAAGCCGAGGATCGGCGGCTTGGCTGCAATAGGAGCGACGGATAACGGTCGATCACCTTTTTACCATCCCTTCATCGACAATACAGTAATCAGTATCCTCAGAGGCGCCGTCTCGCGACTATTCCGCGATGGTCACCGAGACCCACATCCGCACTGTCACTTCTTAGGCCTCAGATGCGGTAGGCCTCAACAGGCCAGGCCTCGACGACCGGCCACGATGGCGGCCGAGCCTCTGTAATCCACCAAGTCAACAAATGCGCAAACATGTTACTTGGCAATGGAGAGACCATACCGATTAGACATCTACGGGAACTCCCACGACAACGCCATGCTTTGCTCCAGAGTAAATACGTCATCGAATAGTCCGCTCCACGTGTAGCTCTCTTATGTACTCCTGGTTTCCTCCCTGCGGCTATAAAAGGAGGCGGCCAGGACCGTTTCTAGGGACGGTGGATAGAGTCACGAACACTCGCATGAACAACACGCCGCATTCTGTAATTCATATCACCTCCCCTCATAGAGACTTGGGACGAACTCCCTCTCTCGCCTAGCTTGTAACCCCTACTACGAGCACCCCGGTGCAAGGAATACAAGAACATCTTCTCAGACTAGACGTAGGGCATCCATTGCCCGAACCAGTATAAACCTTGTGTCTCTTTACATCACCATCCGGAATTGGGAGCACGCAACACAAATTCACTAGTCGGTTAAGGACCCCCGGTTCCGAAACACCGACACAACCTATGTGAAGTTTGAGTGTTTTGAGAGCCGAAAAAACTAACTTGTTTTTGCTGAGTCTGGCAATACCGGACGTGTCCGGTATTTGCCCGATCACAACAATCTTCTTGGTGTTCTCGGTTTGGTTCGTCGGGAGTTTCGACAAATGTCGGGAGTTTCGGGAGTTGAAAGTTCCGGCAATCGATAGGAGTTCCGACGCCTCACAGTGCCACTGACTTAGTGACCATTAGAGCTATACAGGCAATACCAGATGTGTCCGGTATTCCCCAACGGCTAGTTTTTCAAAGGGGCTATAAATACCCCTTAGCCTCCACCTTTGGAGGCTGCTGATTCTACTGACTTCCATACACATTTTTGAGCCTTGAGAACTATCTCCAACCCTCTCTTAGTGCTTGATTGATTCAAACTTGCAAAATCCATCTTGTGGGTTGAGTGAGATTCAAAATTGAGAGCAAGCCACCCTTGAGCACTTGTGCATATTTGTCGATCTCGTGATTTGCATTTGTTACTCTTGGACTCTTCGGTCCTAGATGGCTAGGCGTCGCCGGAGAGCACCCAAGCGATTGTGGTGTACCTCGAGAAGATTGTAACGGTTTGATTCCACCGCCGCAAGGGAAGGGATCATCTAGTGGAAGGAGGAAAAGGAGTTGGAAAAGACTCCGGCTAGAGTGGCCTTCATGGTCCTCTAGAGCTGACCTTCGCTGGGTCGCTCGTAGCCCCCTCAACGGAGAGTAGGACTCGACGGAGTCCGAACTTCAGTAAAACAAATAGCGTGTCTCAATCTCCCTTTACATTTGGTATTTGTGATCTTTGTGTGTTGTTTGAGCTTGTCTGCAGGTTACCAATAGTGGTCTGGAACTTAGTTTGAAAAAGAGAAATCAATCGGAGCAAGTTGAGAGCTGGCCGGCCAAACCCGTGAATACTGGACGTGTCCGGTATTTTGATCCCTGTGCTGAATTTATTTGTTTATTGTTCTAATCTCTGTGTTACAGGGTTGTAGCTATATATTCTTTACACCTTGTTTACTCTGTGGCTAACTCATGAGGGGTTTATTTCTCTGATTTGAAATTTTATATTCCAATCATTTCCGTATTTTAAAGGGTTGAATTTTAGAAATGCCTATTCACCCCCCTCTAGGCAGCATCCTCGATCCTTTCAGGGGGTGAGTGAGCAAATTATAGTAGAGTGAGAGAGGGTTGTTCCTCCATCTCACATTCTTGCATGTAGAGGGCGAACGGGGGCGAGTGCTTGAGTGAGAGACAGGGTCATAGGGAGAGTGACGGCGTCTTTGTGCAACGAGGCTAATGGGAACAGGGATGTGTAGTTCGAGACTTGGGGTTACTAGGAGGGAGTGAGCTGGATGTCTGTTGAGCGCTTTGTCTTCATGTTTTTTTGGGCTGAACTCAATTATATTATAATTTTAGGGCATGTGGGGTCCATGGGGGAATAATAAAATACGACCCTGCCCTCGACTCGATTGGAGCCCCTGATCTCGAGACATGTGAGGGAAAAATAGGTCTACCTCGCCCCCGCCCCCGAGGGGTCAAAACCCCGTGGTTCTCGGTTTTGAACCCGCTCGCCCGACTGCCATGTCTACCTGTCTTCACCACTGCTCCCCTCTCGGTGTCCCCTAGCTCCCTGTTCTCCTCTTGCCCCCTCCACCGGTGGTAATTATCATGCGAGCAGGTGCTTGTCTCCTCCACCACCATAAGGCATCAGCACCCGCCTCCTTTCTCCTCCACACGCAGTTGGACTGTGGTGCATCCTCTAATTTGGCCCTCTAATTATGCACAATGGATGCGTATCATCCCCACCTCCATGTGTGCCAGACGCATCCCTTAGGGATAATACGTATTTTTAGGTTCTAACTCCTCCAGTAAAGTAGAGCTAAGTAAAGTAGAGCTATACCATACAAGATCTTAAACGCCATCCTGACCATATGCCGTCACGCCCGTTTGGCCACCTCCATCTTATACCTATGGCGATCCCGGACGGAAAAGTCACACGGACACGGAACCGAACTTTTCGTGAATGTTGTGTCAACTCGACCCACTCTTGGTCGTGCTGCTCCAGACCATTGTGGAACAGTGGAACTGTGGAAGCATCGTGCTATCGAGTTTACCAGCTCGCGAACACGACGGCGAGATGTTACACATACTGCACACTGCATGACTGCAAGACGAGCTACCAAGTACCAACCGTGCATGATGGTTCGAGAAACGAGCAAAATTACATCCCATGCCCATTTGATCCCATATGTCTTCTGCGCAAGCATCATCAAGAGCACGATACACTTGTGGAGGGGTAAGAAACGAACTACACGTGCGGCGCGGCGCGGCGATCCTCCCGCGCCGCGGCGCTAGCGGAGGCGTAGTAGACGGCGCAGAAGAGCGCGTGCACGAAGCAGAGGACGCCGCCGATGGAGAGGAACCGGTGGCGCGGCACCCCGCACTCCGCCAGCTTGCGCTTCGCGTTGGGCAGCGCGCCGAGCACCAGCAGCGCGAGCGCGACGACGAGGACCATCCTGCTCAACACAACAGGCACGACAGGAATCGCTTGTCAGTAAAGCAAAAAATAGAGCGTTATTTGTTCGAAGGGCAAGGTTCTCCCTTTATTTCCTTTTCCGCTTGTTGGAGTGGAGTGGAGGATGCATGCAAGAATCTGTGGCGCTCATCGCAAGCATGCAATGCAACGGAACGTACCAGGTGAGAACCAAGGCGAAGGACGCCATCTGCCGGTTGGGCGACGCCCGGCGGAGCTTGTCGCCGGAGCAGGCGCACTCGCAGCCGCCGGCCACGTTTGCGATGGCGTGCGCCGCCGCCAGCACCGCGGCCGCCGCGATGCCGAGCTCGTAGGCCCGCCGGACTGGCTGCCGGCACTCGATGAACAGGATCCGCAGGTGCCTGCCCTGCAATCGCCAGCCGCACCAGGTGAGCGCCGGCGAGCCTGAATACCATCGAACGAATCCCCTGCTTCCCGCTACCCTGCTACACAGAAAAAATAAAGAACTTCCTAACAACACGGAAACTTGCCTGGTTCTGAGCCTTCTCCGCGTGGACTCCGAGCACGCCGGCGGCGACGTCCATGGCGAGGACCAGGAGGCAGATGACCACCGCTTCTACTCTCGCCATGGTTCAGCTCCTCCTCCTCTATCCTTCCTCTCCGGGCCCTGTGCTGTGCGCCTGTGCCTTGGGATGCTGAGAACAGAGGCGCAGAGTGACAGTGCAGAGACTGAAACGGACTGTTGTGACTTGTGAGAGAGATTTTTTTTTGAAACAAACTTGTGAGAGAGATGCCTCCGGTGTCCGGTCTCTGCTTTTGATGTTCTTTATCCCTGCTCTCTATGTTCGGCTTTGGTTTTCTTTACACATTCCGCGTCACGAGCAGTGCAGAAAGCTATACCAGGTGTCTGCTCGCGCTAACGAAGAGAGTCGTTGGGGTTAAGGGTGAGCCGACATGCTCCATTGGTATCATTACGAGTAACAAGCCACAAAAGACAGTGTACTGCTGTACTTCGGCTTTTTTAATAAACAATGATCCGTTCGTTTGGAGGAATCTATGAGAGAAAAATATTATTTCAGATAAAAAAAGCGGATTCAGCTCCAGATAAAAAAAGCGGATTCAGCCAGATTTAAGGGCACGCGAACGGGACGATATAATTTGATCTCAGATTTTTCTTTCGCCATAAGCAGTACGGAGTACTATCAACCTTTTGCCCATCGCAGGTGCTTAATTCATATTCCACTTAATTTTCATACAGTCCACATACAAACAGTGTAAAACCACTATGTGAATTGCACACAGGTGGAGCACAGCTGCACACGTGTCGCATGCTACACATTGCTAGCACATGCCACCTGGGATCACAGTTCACACATTGACGCAATCACTTTCTCGTATGAGGCCGGTCTCAGTGAAGTATCGTATCTCTGTTTTGATATTTGAAACACAGCCTAAACAAGTTTCGTCCCCATTAAACTATTTTCATCATTTTTTTTGTTTAAACTATGTCACATCAACTTATTTAATGTCCATGAAACTTCCATTAAGACTGGCCTGATCGAGCTTACATGCTCGCACATGGTCCCATAAAGGATGGTGTGCGGACCAAATGGCCCCGTTCGCTCCGCTGAAAAAACAAGTTGAAACACTGTTTCGGCTGATTTATTGTAAGAGAAAAGCAATGTTCCAACTAAAAAGACAAGCCAAAAAATACGGCTTATAAGACAAACGAACGTGGCTCAATATAAGGCTTCTGTGTTTTTGTCCCAAGCTTTGACATATATGTAGGAAAAACATATATTTAGAGTCACTAGAATGGCTACAAAACGACATAAAGAGAAACGTTTTAGGAAGAAACACTTAGAATTGATTTTTGTTTTTTTACTAATATAGAGAAACGTACAAAACCTGGTTTCTTTTTTTTTAGTTTTAGTTTCAAGAATCTAGCAAATTAGCCAAATGGTTCTACGAAATGATTCTGATCCATCAGAGAAACGTTTATAGTGAAAATCTGGAGTTGAAACGTTTTTAGAAGAATCCAGATCCCTACCAAACGCACTTTTAAGAATCTAGCGAGGTATCCAAATGGTTTGAAATGATTCTAATTCATCATTTGAAATGTTTCTTTACAGATTCTAGATCTAAATGTTTCTACAAGAATTTTGGATCCATACTAAACGCATCTTTAGTGTTTATTAGGTTCACCCCACTGATTGTTAGTAATAGCTAAATCTGGCTACAGATATGGAACGGTAATCCTCTTTTGATTTGACATAATCAGTTCGTATAACCATAAAACATTACATGCACTCCCTCATGATGGAAAGTCAGCATATCGATTTCTCTGACGACCCTTTCTAATAATTGTCCTCTACTGTTTTTTTTTATCGAAACCTGATACAGTAATGATTGTTTTATGGATATTCGAGGGAAAATAGTATTCTGTGTAGGTTGGGAATAATTGGTTAATATCTTTTTATATCAATTCTCCTGGACATTATCTCAATTTGTTTCTCTTGGACATTTCTAAAAACAATTTTCCTTTTCGATGTCCAATAGCTGGGGACCTATTAGGCCCATTCACTATTACACCCGTGGCCCATCCAACACTGATACAAACGGCCCAGAGCCCAATACTGCAGCCCTAGCGCCCAGCCGAGTGGGAAGCATCGCTCCGCCTCTCTCGTCCAGCACTGCATCGCCCTGCCGCCCTAGGCACCAAAACCTCGCGAGGCAACCGCCCGCCGGCGCCGCCGTCGTAGCAAGAGGGTGAAGTGAGGACTAGAGGAGGGGGAAGATGTCGTTCCGGGCGCGGGAGATGTACAAGAAGGTGGTGCGGCGCGTCGGCGGCGAGGGGAAGCTGCCGGCGGAGCTGATGAAGTCGGTGAAGGACATACTGCCCGACAGCAATGTCGTCATGGGGCGGGCCAAGCGCGGCATCTTCGCCGGGAGACACATCCGGTTTGGGAATAAGGTCTCCGAGGACGGCGGCAATAAGTGAGCCATCTCTCCTCGTCACCTCCGTAATCCATTCCCCCCTTGTCCTGATCCAGACGTTGTCTGGAGAAATTAAGATGCTCGGTTTCCGAAACAATGGTTCAAGTTTTGTGATTTGCGTTTAGAGTTAGCGGGTTAGATGGTGAAGACTCCGGTTTCAGTGTTTTGGGAAACTTACTTAGGATGCATCGATCTGGATGCGAGGCTGGAGCAAATAACCGAAAGAATTGGTCCTTGAAGAAAAATGCTCAAATTTCATAGAACTAGAGAAGGCATTGTGCATGATTCAAGGGTGACCACTATCTGGGAGAGCAGGGATGCATTGTCCAGTTTCCCCCTCCCATCTGGCCTACCATTTTTGGAAGTTTTACTTGTCTGGCAAAAACAATTTCCTTATTACTTCCTGGAGAAATGGAAGAATTGATAGCGATTCAGGCTCTTTTGGGAACATTTGTCATTGGTAGTTTGGATCATATATTCTTGATGATTGGAATGTCCAAACCAACATAATTTCTGGTCTGTCCAATGCAACAAAATTGCTAGTCGTTGCCATTGATGTTAACATAGGGAGCTACAATTTCCAAGCTTGTCTCACAAGAGAAAATGGGCCTACTTTGTACTCCCTTCTGTTAGTGTAAATTCTTGAAAGGGTGAATGAGGTGCCACTGCAGCATGTTTTTTTCCTGCCGTTTAGGGCGTGTTTGGATCTTTTGCTAGTGTAGGCTAGGCAGGCTGTAGGCAACCTTTGCCCAACCTAGCTGAGCATGGTGTGGCAAAAAACGTTGTCATGTTTGGTTCCTAACCTTGTTCACCCCCCTTTCTCCCCTTTCCTGTTTCTTCAACCTCCCACCAAATCAAATCCCAAATGAAATGCAGCACCAAAACCTGACCATGGTTATGTGAGCACGGAAATGACGACGAGCATGGCCAGCAGCATGACACCGGCGCGCCTCCGTTATCCGCGCCGCCTCAACTTTCCCATGTGCTTCGCTGGCTCTCGTGCATCCCTCTGAAGACTCTGACTCTGACACCGATAATGGTAGCAGGGCAGTGATATTCTCCAATCTCTACGATTTGTCCACCTGATCATTGATTTGTGTTTCAATCTAGGCCACATGGCATCGCTTTTTGCTTCTTTTTGTGTAACAGTTCAATTTTGTTGTTTTGGTATTTCAAGCTCAGGCTGAGCTCCACCGCTGCGAGAGAGCATATGATGCGTGGCGCAACCTTGCTTGTGCAGGAGAGCGGATTTGGCTCTTCTGCACGGGCAAGGATTTCCTTGCCCAGCTGGGTGAGGTTGCCAGGCAAAGTGAGTCTCACGCTCGGTACGAAACAGTGATCCTTGCTTAGTGAGGCGTGGCAAGGGGATTGCCCAGGAACCAAACATGCCCTCAATGCCACACCACATGACTTGATTATATTTCATAGATTCCTCCAATTAAGTTAAAACCATCAGCCATCTTGAGAATAATAATCCCATAACCTTGCAACTCATTATCTCATGATGACATGATCTTACCATCAGTCTTAAACACATCCGGTGCAACATTCATTGCATTAAAAGAAGAGAGTTACAACACACCCAAACATCCAGTGCAACATTATTTTTCATCTGCTTTTCATCACGTATAAATAAATAAATAAATAATATGTCCCATTTGTATCTGTTGCCTTTTGTCTCCACTTGTAATTCAATAGTTTTTCGGAGGAATATGTCTTGATAGGATATATTAAATCAGGATCCATACTCAGCTGGTTGATCGACCCAATCACTGAAGCACATATGTTTGGGTCTGTGGGCCCATTCTACACTAGATATATCTGGGGATTATTCTGGCCTCTACACTTCCATCTCTTAATAGAGATAATGTTAAGACCTGCATTGTTGCCTTATCTATTTAAAGTGGTAGATTCTTAAATCTTAGGCGGAATATGAACTTCTGCAGTATTACATTAAAATGATTCCCTTTTAGTTAAATTTCCACGACAATAACATTCACTAAGAATTTCTTGGTAGTGACAGAATTTATTTATACCTTGCAAATATGAGGCTATGATATTGTTTTTATAATCATCTTATTGGATTATCTTTTGCTTATTTAGATCAAGGCGATCATGGAAGCCAAATGTTCAGGAGAAGCGTCTTTTCAGCTATATTCATGACCGACACATTAGAGTCAAGGTTACCACACATGCACTTCGGTGCATTGACAAAGCTGGTGGGATAGATGAATACCTCCTGAATACACCTTACAATAAAATGGATACTGAGATGGGGATAGTGTGGAAAGCAAAGATTGAAAAGATGTATTCAGATTTGGCCGAAATGGAAGTAGGCTTCTTCCCTCCTGAGGAAGAGGCTAAGATTAAAGAGGGCTTTGACGAGGTTCGTGCTGCCAAGAGGGACTTACGAAGGGAAGCAAGACGAGCTTTGGCAAAGCAAAGGCAGCTAGAAGCAATTAGTGCTGGTGATGACCAAACGAGTGAAGTCACAGATACAAAGGAAGAGGTATCTGATGCTGCTGCTAAAGTTTGAGCCTAAACCTATGTGCCTGTCTTGAAAGGTAAATATGATTCTGGACCTTTTTTCTCTGAAATTATCATCACTTAGTTTCTCGAAAGCTTGTCTATCCGTTCATTTGTTCAGTACCTAAGATATGGATTGAGTAAAGTGCAGCAATGATTGTCAAACTTGTTTGGGGGGTGTAACATAGGTCCATGTTACCAGATATGGTTCCCTAAACTTGTTATTTATGTCACTCAATGTCCAAATATCATTAATCAGCATATACTTGCTCCTGTGGCATGCTAACATGGAGAGGGAAATGTTTGGATGCCAAGTAGGCTGATCAGCACTAACTAGAGATGTGATCTCGAATGAAGCCCTTAGCAAGTTTAGGTGCCCAGATCTGCAAATTAATACTTTAGTGACCTAGTTGACACCCCTAAACAGGTTTAGGGACTCCTGGTGCATTTTAATCATATGTATTTTCTTGGAAGACTAATCATAATTACGAAGTTAAGTCCATTTGGTTTATACCGTGTTCACTTTCCTTGTTGATCCAGATAGGATGTTCCTTCACTACTGCAGCTGTTTTGCCCCCTTGATATTTGAAGCCTTTCTTCTGTGATAGTAAATAATGTGTCTTCACAATGACTGTTTCTGCTGATTACTATTCACTCTGATTTTAGTTTTGCACTTTTGCTGCAGGCCTGGTTGTTGTGTGTGTGTGTGTGTGTGTGTGTGTGTGTGTATAAAGAGTTCAGGCATCCTGTATGCTTGTGGTAATCCTTTTTTAGCGCGAAGTTGAATGTAGTTGACTTGGTTTTCTTGCAGATCAAAGGAGGCAGCAAATCATTGGATGTCCCTGGGCAAATAACCGAAGGCTTACTACTTGATATAAACTGGGGAAAGTTTCTTGTGCACAAACTATACCCCCATTTTCGGGAGCAGCAGTGTATGTTAAGCCAGCGTATGTTCTATTTCTATATCAATACATGGTGGAAATTTTGTACAATTATTGAAAACCCAAGAGCCTGAATTGTGGGATAGTTTGTCTTGTAGAATCTATTTATTTTCTGCAGCTTAACTGAATTGTCAGAAATAATAATGCTTGACATGAATTCACGTTTAATGCTAAATTGGCTAGAGGCCTGACATCCTAGCTCATTTCTGTTCCATTCCTATTTTGCTTGAAGATTAGCAAAATACCAAAATGAATTCATCGGTAGTTTAGTTTGTAGGGTCAAGTGATCTGGTGTTCTTTTTTTGGGTGGGATAACTATGACACGCTTGCTGTTATGCTGAGACTCATGACCAATTTGTACCTCAGATGCCGAACTTTCAATTTGATGCCTTTTAATGTACGGTATCACGAATTAAGGCTGTTGGTATCTGTTTCTGGTTGTTGCATCAGCTCGCAACGGTACTTGTCAAGAACTCAGGATAGCATCATAGTTAAGTGCTTGCTGAATGCTGATATAATATCAACAGAAAATGGTACATTGCCGGCTCCATATGAACAAACACAAATCCGAAATTACATGGCCATTTTAGCCCATTTGTTATCTTCCATCTAGCCTATCTTGGCGAGAACATCGCCGAGCACATCTTTGGTTGCTGCGTAGTATTTCTCGGCCTCTAGGGTGCTCTTGATCTTCGCGGCATGGTCAAGCTGCCAAAACGGGAAGAGAAGCTGCCGTGTTATTTCCACAGTTCTTGTCAAAAATTGAATTGCTCCCAGATAGATCAGTGATCAATGGGGTTTAGCTTACACCGTCGATGATGCTGAAGAGCTTGCCGGTGAGCTCCTTGAGGATCTTCTCCTCCTCCTTGGGCTTGGATGCGATGACGGTCTTGAGGTCATAGCGCAGGTAGGAGGCCCGGAGGCGGAGGTCGTTCTGGACGTACGGCCACGCCTTCTTGTCGATGAGCGGCTTGAGGTTGATGATGTCCTGCGCCGACGTCTTCACCCTCGCCGCCGCCAAAGCCGGTGGCTGCGGCTGCAGGTAGAACCGCTCCGACAAGGGGAGGCCGAAGTCCCTCGCCTGGTCAGAGTTGTCAGTCCCGGCTGTGCGCCATAGCAGTGGACACGTCAGATGAAATCTTTTGGGGGCAAACATGTGGTTGTCGATCGTGGAGGAAATTTAAATGTTTTTATGCTGAAAATTAAACCCTAAGCCTTACAGAACAGCTCCAAACGATTCTGAACTCGCGATCAAGATTCGAGAGATGTATATATAAATAAATAAAAGGGTTTGGTGGAAAGCATCTACGTATATAATAGTATCATAGAAAGAAGAAAGCTATATGAGGCGCGGGCAGGTAGGCACTCACGGAGTCCACCGGAGGGCGGCGGCGGGGCTCCGATCTTGATGGGATTGACAGGCGCGGCGTGCACCGCCTGCGACAAGGCGCCGCCGACGATGCCGGCGGCCACCAGCCCAAGCACGGCGCGGCGGCCCGCCTGCGCCGCGGCCTCGCCCTCGGTGGACGCCCTGACGACGACGGCCGCCCTGGCCCTGCTGGCGGCGCGCCTGCTAGGCAGGACGCCCTGCGAGAGGCCGGTCATCGACGCCATGGCTTGTGCCATCTCAGCTCTCCGAGCCTTTTCTCTGCGTGAGTGCGCTTCGTCGGTCGAGCAGTCTCGTGCCCGAGTGGCGGCGTGCCAAAAGGTTATATGTCGCTCGCAGTTGCAGGCGCCACCTTATCTGGCTGGATAAGTTGATGGCCACTGTGTGAGCGCCATGTGGCCGCGTGAATCACTTGCGGCCTCCATTCAGGATTGCGCCACTGCCAATGGGTCGCCGACACGTGTCAGCCAGTGCTCGTGACCACTCTCTGCATGCCCGTGGGTTGCTCGGTAGCAGCAGACAGCAGTCAATAACACAATGAATGACAATAAAAATAACACAGTCACAAAAAAAGACAATAAAAATAACACAAGGAACGTTTTCGCATATTTGGACAAAAAATTTGCAACTCAAGTGCCTTAGTGTAAAACCTGCCAATAGTTTAGAGCATGTTTAGAACCGAAACATACGAATTTCATATGGAACACTCTCCGTTTCCTTTTTTTTTGATGGGTCAGCACGGAGGCCCCTACTTATATTTTTGTATATATATGAAATAAATTATGTACAGAAAGAATGTACAAAAAGCACATGTTACAGGGCCCAAAGAGCCAAAAGGAAAAAAGAAAGACCAAAGCTATGTAAAATTCTCCCTCCACAGAGCTCCTCTCAACTTTTGCTTGGCCTTGATACAAACCAGGCCCTGTTCTTCTTCGAAGTTTGCTTTCCAAGACCTGCATGTTTGGGGTACTGTTGTCGAATAAAGCTCCATTTCTGATGGTCCAGATCACCCAATAGGGAGTGATCATTATTTCAATAAAGATGCAACTGCCAAAAGCTATTCTTGCTTCTATCAACATATCCCGTGGTTTGAGAGTAAGGTCCCAATGAATTGATGCAGAACTCCAACAATCACTACTGAAGGGACATTCAAAAAACAAATAGAGACATGTTTCCTCAGTCCCTCTCTTGCATAGCACACAACTATAGGAGGACCAGAGCTAGTTGAAAAGGGGGAGGAGGCTTCTAAAGATCTCTGAAGCTGAGAGTATGCTTTCTTTGTGTTATAAGTGTTTGATCCCCAGATGTAGGACCCCTCATCTTCAATCTCCACATCCCAGTGTCTTTCTTGCAACAAGGACTGGAGTTCAACCGGTTTCCTTCACAGGAAAAAAAGGAAATCCCCATGCTCCCAAAGGATATACTCCCTTCGTCCAGAAAATACAATTCTCACTTTTTTGATGAGTTAAACGACTTAAAGTCTGGCCAAAATTATATTAAAAATTACTAACATTTATGATACAAGATAAGTACCATTAAATCAATTATGAAATACACTTTCGGAGTAAAATAGAGACATAAATATTAATACATGGACAGAGGGAGTAGTATGTAACGTTTAGAGAAAAATAAATTAGTTCAAAAATAAAGCAAACGTCATATTAAAAAAAATGAATGGAGTATAATATATTTTTACATTGGAGCTGAATGTCAAGCCACAACCGCTAGATCACTAGTTGCTACTCCTCTCTTTCAAATTATAAATGATCTTGACATTTTTAGATGTATAAAGATATGTATCTAAATATAGCGTATATCTAGGTGCAAAATACAATTATATTATATTAAAAAAATCAAAATGATTTACAATTTAGGACAAAGAAAATATATTATAAATAGAGCTTCAGGCTTAGTCTTGCCAAAGCTCAAAGCATATGATTGATCACCTCCAAGCCTATGCAATGGGCGACTATGTAGTTTGCTACGGCTTTAGAAGCGTCCCCACTTGATATGCATTATAGAGTCGACACCAAGGTTTGGTATTTCAGCCCAAATTTTGTGATTTTCGGTCATATCAGTGACCTCTGATAAATGTATACTCCCCAATTCTCTTTTCTTAGGTGTAGAAGCTAATTTTACAGATACCAAGGAATCTCGGAGAGCGAGGTAGAGAATTAACGAGAGCAAGGTAGAGGAGCAATCCAGCATTGAGCAGCGATATCTTTGTGCATCGTATCCATCTCAATCCACCATCGTATTAATCTCAATCCACGTGTATTCAGGTGTAAGTTAGTTTAATTTTTATACCAATCTACCCTAACACATATGTATTGAGCTAATTGCAAGCGTATTCAAACAAGCCCTTATTGATTTTGTTACTCTAAGTCTGCACGCTAAGTTTTCATATACAACGCAGATTGATGGATGGATATATATGGCGTCAATAAAACACGTTCCAGTGAAAAAAAATATTGTTTTACGCGACTCGTCAAAATAGCCGTAGGTATACAAATTAGGCATCAGATGTCAATTGTAATCGACCTTTTGTGCAGCATGTGCCAAAATAGTTCTAGCAAAAGAATAGTACGAGTACTTGAGAAACGACACACGGGTGGAGCCGTTGGATGATTTGCTGATGCTCCCCTTTGGACCGTTCGATCGGAATATACACTGGGCCCGGGAGTGGCGCCTGAGCCTGACGAACAATCCTCTGCCTTCTCGCCGTGGCGGGTTGCGGCGGCAGCGCCGCCTCCGATGCTCGGCTCGAGTCCTGAGCGCCGCGTACAGTGGCGGGCGCGGACCGCGGAGCTCGACGGGCGAAGGGCGAAGGCGCAGGCGAGCTCGCGAGTCGCTACCGATACCGAGCCCACGCCGTCACGCAGGTTAGTCGGCCGCGCTGGTCCCAGGCTCAAAACCACACCCTCGTTGAGATCACGCAGTTCGACCCCGAATCATGAGTTGCGAGTAGTTCCATCAATCAATTAAATCGAAGTCGAGGCCCGTGCGTGCCCGCACTGGCCACTGTGGCCTGCTAGCGCTTAGCTGAAGCGGTAGCGTTAACCTTCAGTCACAGCTACCACGCACAGTATTGCGTATTGTTTGTAACGCTCAAGTTGCTATATGAGATCTTCAGTATCAAAAGCAATAGGATATCTGGCACGGATATGTGTGAGCCACAATATGTAGGGATTTTTATTTTCTCCATGTTGTACTTCTGTGATTTGCTGAACTTGGGTGGGATCAGCCATATAACATGTTCTGATAGACCCATTTTCTGCTCTAGCTAGAGCAGTCAGCTAATTAACTGACTGAAAGTGAAATAGTAGTGTTCCTCCCTGGCACTCTTTCTTCCATTTGGTTAAATACCTACAATGATGATTCATGTAGCCTAAATTGGTTGCCCTATCAGTAATCAAATAGCATGTATCATGTATGGCCCTAGCGAGCTCACCGATCTGGATGAAAACAGGTTGTTATTGTTGCTCTGCTACTTTGTTTCTCTCCTCACTCCAAAGACAACTCCTGTACGTACTTCTCTTGACGAATCTGCAGACAAATCTTGTAGCATTTTCTAGGAGAGCGGGCCTGGTAGTATTTTTTTCAACAAATAATGTCAGGTCATCTGGCTTTTATTTAAGGCTTTGTGTGTCTAAGTTTGAGCACTGGATTGGCAGGGTGTTCAATGCCCCCCTCCACTAACCAAGTGGTCGATCTGTCAATCCTCTGGTTCGATCCTTTTTTTTTTACTTCAAGTTCGAGCACCGGTTGCATGATTCCACAATACATAGTACACGTTTTCTGCAAATTTGAGACATCTTTGGTTTTGGTGTTGAGGTGAAGCAAACTAATCTTTTCAGTTACATGAAAGGTCTGTATTCTTTCCAATGTAGATATTGCATTCCGGATTGTTGTTTCTTTGTGTACATAAAACTGACACATAGGAAATAGATGGTCCAAATAATCTACAACCATGGTGCTCTCATAGCTTCGCAGCACATTTTATTCTTTCATGATAACATCATTTCGGTTACACATCACTTTGTACAACCAACTACTTGTTTTGATTATTTTTTGTGAACCATTGTTATTCTCTTGATGCTGTGCAATGATTTATTTTTATGGTGAGCAGATTGTGCATGTAGAACTATTTGAAACACTTGTAAACCACACATACTCTCCGAATGACACAGTAAATAACCCACAAAGCCACATTTTTTATTCATTGGCCCAAATACATACAACAACAGGAAGGCCAAGGGTATTACAATTCATCAGAAAATCATCAAGCCTCATGTTTAACAACACAAGATTATTGGTGCAATACGTGGCCATAATATGCTCCACACAGCATTTTATTTAGTTACTAGCCTACTGCTCGACAATAGGCTTACTTCATGTTTATCTTGATTTTTAAAGTGCCTCGTGATCCTTCCTGTAGCTTGCATCGTTGGAGTGTTTAAACTGGTAGGTCTGTGTTCTTCTGGAAGGGAAATGGCTCCAATCTTGGCTGTGCTACTTCTAGGATTTCTTCAATTGGTATCTCTGGCTTTGATCTTTTCAATGGTGCAACAGGATCGACATTTGGATTATAATCCTGAAATAATTTTTATATATTCTGTCAGTGTGTAGCTCAAACCAATTATGAACGTCTAGATTTCAAGGGTGTTACTCACCAGGTTAGCATGCATTCTCCTGACAAAAGTTTTGAAAGTGTTGTAGTTGTCTCCCTCGAACAGTTCATCAGATACTCGGAGGTAGGTGAATCCATACAACTTGTGTTCTGGAGAGCCATTCTTGTTGATGCCTTGGGGTCTTGCATTCCTGAGGATGGTGTTGTAAGCTGTTGCATCATATCGACTGAGTGCATTTTCACATGCCAGATTTAGGCCCTCTCTCCATCCGGCACTCAGCACCTGCCATTTTTTATAGTTTGCACCAGAATTTTTTGTTAATAATTGAGAAGTGCCTTTTGTGATCCGTTAAAGGAGAATACAGACAAGTGACCGATGGCTTAAACCTGTTGAACCAGTTCCTCAGGTGCAATTTTCGCCTCTGAACTCTGCTCACTGTCCCTCATCTCGGCACAAGTGAAGTTCATGCTAGCAGGATGCCTTGTTAGCATGTGTGCTATGGTTCTGTAGCCATCTCTGTCATCTAAGTTGTAGTATCCGGCAGTGAGCTCAGCTGCATGGTTTGGAACCGTGTACCACCAGTGTATGCCAGAGACCTGGAAACAAATATTAGCACATGTGATGTCTATGTTTCAATTCACCCATAGGTTAGTCATAGTTTGTGTTGTAGCCTCTAGTAAACCTTGTACCTTTATTATTGTTATATGCAAAGACTTGTTCAACTTTGATTGCCAGGCGTTATTCATCATGGTACTTACTTTGATTGCCAGCTGCACCGTGCATCCCAAGAAGACCTTGTTGATAGAATTCTGGATCATCTAGGCGTAGATCAATGTGTAGAACTTGACTTAGACAATACCTTGTCGATGTACCTCGTCGAGTGCAGTCGCGACCGTGGCGCTGCCAACAAGGTGGCCGCGACGTGTCGGTGTAGGGGAAGCCGTGCAGGCGCCCGCTAGGTCGTCGACGGTAGCAGCAGCGTAGGCGCGGACCAGTGGCGACGGTGAAGGCGGTCTGGACTTCCCGTCGCTTACAGTGCGCCCTTCTAGATCGGACTAGGGCTAGGAACCTCGGTGGGGCGCTGGCGGCTACGGTGAACCTCGTACCTTGCGCCCCGGCCCCCACCTTCCCCTTTATAGCGCTGCGCGACGGGGGCCCATCAGCCAGGAGAACGGCTGGGCGCCCCCGATCAGGGCGCGGATCAAGGGCCCAATTGGCCGTTGGGCCAACTGGTGGAGATCAATCTAACATTCTCCCAATTGATCTCACCTTATGACTTAAACTTAAGTTACTTTATCTTTTTCCCATTCCATCGCAGATCAGTGCATAGAGCATGCTTCATCGTCACGGTCAGTTGTCATTAGATTAAACAGCTACAATGCACCTCTCTGTTTTGATACAGATTCTCAACTAGGTCCTTAGTATCCAAAAATCATAGGCTTTCTCGTAAACCCATATCGACTGTGCGTTCTCTGAACGCACTGGGTGGTTAGTCTTTGATAAGCGGATCCGCAAGTACTTGCTTGGTACTTATATGCTCAATGCTTTCAAAATGATTCTGGATTTTCTCTTTTACAACATATAACTTAATGTCAATGTGTTTGGCAGCACACTTGACCTGTTGTCTTAGGAGTTAACTACTCTAAATGGTTATTGCTGTTGACTACCATTGTTAAATCCGGGTAAATATTCCTTTAACCACTTTTGCCTGTTCCTGAGGCCTCATGACAAGCTATATTATGGTATGCATCATTGATGACACCACAACTGTTTTATTGGAGCTTTTCTACAATAATACTCCAACTACTGTGGATTTCACTACATATCTCGCCAAAACTTAACATTTGTACCCACAACTATTTGAGAGTACTCGTTCTTTCTTACTCAGCATGAGGCCTATGAGATTTTGCAAAAATTGCAAGACATTCTTAACTTCATTTCAGTGATCTATATCTGGACTGGACTTCTACCAAAATATTTCGGATATGTAAGCTACGTCAAGGTAAGTTCTTACTTGTACATTCATTAAACTTCCAACAGCTGAAGCATATGGAACCATGTTCATTTGATCGATCTCATTTCGGTTCCTGGAACACTAAAAGTTTTCAAATCTATTACCCTTGACTATAGGAGTAGGAGTAGGTTTACTCACATGCATACTTTATTTCTTTAGAATCTTTTCTAAGTATGCATTTGCGATAGTCCTAATACCTCTTTTCATCTATCTCGGTGAATTTCAATTCCTAGAACCAATGAGACTTCACCAAGATCATTTACATTGAAACTTGAGGACAAAGACTTCTTCTCCAATGGCAGATTAACATTACTACTAGTGAGTAGGATGTCATTTATACACAGGATGTGAAAAAAGAATTTTCTTTTCTATAACTTCGCATAAATGCTATGGTCCTTCTCATTTTCTTTAAACCAAAACTTTCTTATCGTTTCATCAACTTCAAATACTACTGTCTAGAGACTTGTTTTAACCCATAAATGGATTTCTACAAGCGGCATCTCATACGTTCTTTTTCTTCCACGACAAAACCTTTGGGTTGTGCCATGTAGACGTTTTCATACAAACCCCCGTTGAGGAATGCCGTCTTTACATCTATCTGATGTAACTCTAAATCGTAATGTGCCAATAACATCATTATGATTCTAAAAGAATCCTTGCACGAGACTGGAGAGAAAACTCTCATCGTAATCTATTCATTCTCTTTGCGTAAAGCCTTTTGCTACAAGTCATGCTTTATATCTTTCTACATTCCCTTTGGAGTCACATTTTGTCTTGTAGACCCTTTCACAGCCTACTATTTTGCCTCAATTAGGAATTTCTTCTAAGTCTCAAACATCATTGGTATTTATCGAATTTATTTCAACTTCCATAGCTTCTTGCCATTCAAACGAGTAAACGATTTTTATGGCTTCTTCAAATGAGGTGGGATCACTCTCCATTTGAATTTCTTCACTAATATAGACTCCATAGTCATCAAAAAACTAGTTTACTAATTCTTTGAGACCTTCTGAGGCCTCAACTACTGGTACTTTCATGTGGGCTATTGTTGCTGTTCATTGTCAAGAGACAATTGATTCTATAGGCTCCTGTATCACAAGATCCTTGTTTACATTATTCTTCTTCGAAGAGCCAACAACATGTGTTGTATAAGTCATACAACATCAACAGGTATTGAGAAATTCGTTGTTTTGAATCACTGAAGTGGGCACGCAGTCCCGCTTCTCTTCAAGTCATAGGTCTCTACATACCGTGCTCCCCAAGATCGTCCCATCTTTTATAAAGATAGTGTATCTTCTAATTTCTTATTTAGGTTCAATCTGTTAAAACCTTATATGGCGCTTTAAGCACCGCTTTAATATCTTTGATGGTGACTGCGTTATCTTTCTCTCGGAACTTTAAAAAATCCAGGAATTTAGTTGTTTCTCTGTTTAGGGGTATCATTGTTATGATCGACGGTCACATTCATCAAAATTTTTATCTCACTCAGTTTCTTACAAAATCCGTATCTCACTCTTAATGAAGAGTACACATTCATCAACATCTCTATCTCACTCTTAATGAAGAGTAGATTCTTAATTGATCTTAATTCTTACTCTTAATTCATCTCACAATTCTTCCCTCGAAATATGGCATGAACTATACTGCCATAATTTCGAGAACTATTCAGAAAACTGTGAACGAGGAGACACTTATGACTTACTTCATTCACATGATTATGCCACGTAAATAATGTTATTTCTTGATCCGTATAGGAGTACACTTTCCTCATTCCACTTCAAAAACTCGACGAGGTCTTTTATTAACTATACTTTTACAAGTCACGCTTGCATCTTTTTCTTGTCCTTTGATTAGTATTGACCATGACGGTGTATTTCTATTGTGTCATGGTCAATACTAGCATAGCATAAGAGCTACCCAAACTTCTCTTGCTATGCGGGATACAAAAACATATGAGTCATCACAAAACTTCTCCCGCCATGTAGGATTGACTAGCATAAGTACTATGTCAAACTTCTCCCCATGCGGGATAAATCTATATACAAATTACGGTAACGCAAAATTTAGTCATGATGACTAAAACATTCACTTATACTTTATTTTTCAATTAAATCTTCTCGTTGGTTCCAATTTAATCAGAAAATTAGTAAAGTAAAAAAAACTATCCTGAACCGGCATGACAAGCCTTTTCATTCATATACCCCAGCATTGCAGCTCGTTGACATGCAGCCGAGTGATCTCATCGGTTAAAAATAAAACTTACAAGATGCTTCTGCATCAATTCTATATTACCGTTTGACAGAAATAGAATTAATGCATAAAACACATAAATTAAATTGAAAGACATATAACTACTCTTCAAAATTAAATTCTCCTGTTGGTTCGAATTTAATTAGAAGATAATCAACATCATTGCAGCGAAACATAATAATAAAATACATTCTATTAGTTCAGGTGCATTTCTTGGTCTTTATCTACTCTCTGAAAAATTGACCATGTTGGTGTAAAATTTATCAGATATTTAAACTTCAACCTTAAACTCATCATAATATCATTCAGAAAATAATAATACCATAATTTAACATAAACAAATCGGATTACTCCTCTAATTTAAAAATTTTCGTTAGTTCTAATTTAATTAGAGGATAAACATAATCAAAATTTACTAAAAGTAATTGCTCTTCAAATTAAATTCTCCCGTTGGTTTGAATTTAATTAGAAGATAATCAGCATTAAACTTTGCAGTGGTAACATGAAAAAATAATTTATCTACTTTTTAGAAGCATTTTACTGTGTACTTATCTACTCTCTAAACAATTTATCCTTTTGGTTCAAAATTGAATAGAGATGAAAAACTAATCAAAATGAGCTTATGAAAAAAGATAAAACCAAAAACTTCTCTTTTACTGTTCATTTGGCCCAACCGAGAAAATTCCACCCATGCCCATCTCGTCGGCCTTGCAAGTGCTTGCATGCTGCCCATGGCGCATACCTTGGCCAAGTGGCTTTGCTTAACACTGTGCACACATGTCGCTCTCTCCGTGCCCAGGCCGCAACCTAGGCCTGGGCCGGGATTTTGCTTCCCCGCCTGGGTTGAAAGCTGGCCCGATCAACGTCAGCCATCGATCGCGATCCAACGACCGGGCGGCGATCTCGGCGGAACAAAATCCCCTGGCGGCCGCCGCTCCCCCGAACCCTAGTTCATTCGTTCTCCCTCCCTCTCCTCTCCTCAGTGCTCAGCGTGCGGCGCAGCAGCGACGGCGACCCAAGGCTGCCGGAGAAGAGAAGGCCGGCGCCGCCATAGGCCCCCTCACCGGCGCGCGCGTTCGCCCGAGGGTGAGCGCGCCACCGTCGAGCGGGATTGTAGTGGTGCCCTCGGCCGAGGCTCGCACGCACGGCGACGAGCGCGACTCGACCGTCTTCCCGCGTGCCGGCGAGGCGGCGGCGGGTCCTTCCCGCGCGACGACGGTCGCAACGGCGGGGAAAGAACCCAGGTAGGTCCCTTCCTCCTCTCCGTTCTGTGATCTAGGGCTAGGGTTTGGGAAAAACTTAGAAATCTTTAAGCTCCTTCTAATTTCTTTCACCTTTCTACCCCAGACTCGAACTACTCACTAGTAGAAACGGCTCTGATACCATTGATAGATTTCTGGATCATCTAGATCAATGGGTAGAACTTGACTTAGACCCATGAGTATATTAATGGATAAAAGTTCATGGTACTGAGTATGGTTATGCTCTACTTGAAATTATAAACCCATGGTTATATATGTACCCGATTTGCAACTATAATTTAAAGCCAAAATTCAACATAATATATTGTAAAACATGGTCCAACCAGCACACCTATATAGTGCTATAAAAGGGGCAACATATACATAATTTTTCTATTACATTCGTTACATATCTATTGTTCTATTATTTTGCCTTGTTCGCTTGAATTACTTCAGCAGCACTTTTCAACGAACGAACAATGTTTTTCTCTCACAACAAATTAGCATAAGCATCGGCATAAGCCAAATTTCAGCGAAAAGTCATAGTTTAATACATGTGTTACTTTCTCTGTATCTAATTTTTTCTATTACATTGGTTACATATCTGTTGATCTGGTGCGTGATCCTCGACAGCCGCCTAGGGTTCACCAATGGCGTGACATTGATGTCCGTGCATTGAGTGCGGTTGGTGTGGGATTGGGATCGCCGCAAATCGCGCACCCGCACACCGGAAATGTCGGAGTTAGGGTCCAGGGATGCCGATGTCTATCCGTAACCCGAAACCTGATGATTTTTTACTCTATTAGTAGGGTATGAGTGCGGGCTAATTTACATAGTCATGAATATGTTAATGGACAAAACCTCTTCATATTTATTGGGTTCCATGGGTTACTTGGACCCATATGGGTATGTATGTACTCCCTCCATCCCAAATTATAAGACGTTTGACTTTTTTGACCTCAAATTTGACCACTCGTCTTATTTAAAAATTTATGCAAAATATCACTTCTTTTGTCGTGGCTTGCTTTATTAATAAAAGTTCTTCAAGAATGACTTAATTTTGACTATGTTTGCACAATTTTTTTAAATAAGACAAGTGTCGGGGACCAATACTAGGATACCCGAAGAGGAGGATGAGCTAATGGTCATCAACATGATTCATCCGAGCAGTCAAAAGCGCGACTACAGCTCCAACCGACCCCAGGAGCGTGGGCTCCGCCTCGCCCGACCTCTAGGTCGCGGGCTCCACCTCGATCGACCTCTGGGTCGGGGGTCCCGCCTCGCCCGACCTCTGGGTTGCGGGCTCCGTCTCGCCCGACCCCTGGGTACGTGCTTCGTCTCGTCCGACCCCCAAGGGTCGCAGGCTCTGTCTCGTCCGACGGGGACCCATACCATCGCCAACCACTCCAGGTCCAAGCGTATGGGCCTGTGTCAAAACTTTGACACCAGGGAAGAGACGGGCAGGACTCGATGTAACCCATGGCCATGATGGGCCATAACTGAGGATTCACATCAAGAACAGCGTTGGGCGAGCCAGTGTTGTTCTACCTAACCCCACTAAAGTTAGCTCAACTCACACCTATAATTGTTGGCCTCATTTAGTTACTACATGGGCCCGGGACGATTAATCCTGCTTAGTTGGCTTTGAAAGGATCGCTTCGATGATGCCTAGAATAGGCTCTCAAAACTTTTTCAACAAAAGTTAGCGTATAAAACAATTCATCACCGTACGCTTGTCAGCCTGGGCACAATGCCTAACCCGGCCTAGCCAGGTCCTAATGCCGGCCTGGCTGACTTTGGCCAGTGCACCGCCTAAGTGTGCCTTTGAGCCTCCGCCTCTTCTACATAGCCTCAAGTATAAAAAATAAATAAGCAGCATATAATCATCACTGTAAGTAGCATATAATTATCATTGCAAACTTCCCAAAGCCTTAGGTAACAGAGTTTAAACAATTATTGCGTGTTTGATATCCCGTGGGCCTGGATGGGCCAAATGTGGGCAACAAGGAAACCACCGGTTTCTTCTTAGCATCGTAAAACATTTTGTATTAGGGATCGTATGGATACACATGTATTCATCTCAATCCATACATGTGGATTGAAATGGATACACGTACATCAAACATGGTCTTATGGGGATATGTAAAACTACTCTAGATGCTCTAAATTTCATCCGTATTTCATTTGTGGCCTTCCCCTATTGCGAGCAGGAAGCATAAGCGTGTACAAGTACAATCTCAGTCAGATAGTGCTACTAGCACAACTGCATGCGTCACTAGCCATGCCATTCCTGTTGCCGACCAACGGACCTTGTCGAACGGAAGTGCTGACGACAGGAGGGATGGAGGAGAGGGCCTGACCGCCTCAGTCTGATCTGATCTTATCCAAATACCCACTCGATCTTGTCGAGCACCCAGTCAACGGCCTCCGCGAGCCAGCCGCCGACGCTCATGTCCGTCTCCGGATCGAACGGGAACGCCGGCGGCGGCGCGGTGGCTTCCAGCAGCCGCTCTGTGGGCGTCTCCGGCGCGGACCGCTCCAGGGGCTTGATGGGCCGACCGTACCGCTCCGGATCAGGGCAGTAATCCTTCATGAAGCAGAAAAAAGAGACCGATGGTTATATGCAGTGCAGTCCAGTATAATGGAAGCCCAGTTTGTACAGTCAAATGGGCTAGATCGAGGTGCGCTAAGCCCAAGCCCGAGAGGCTTACCAGGTCGGCGTGCAGTTTCCGGACGAAGGTCTGGAAGACCCGGAAGTTGTTGCTGGCCAGGAGCTCGTCCGAGAGCCGGAGGTACGTCACCGCCGCGACCCTGCGCGGCGCCGCGCCGGCGTCGGTGCCGGAGAGACCGATGCCGTTGGGCCGCGCGTTGAGCAGCATCTGGTTGTATCCCCGGCGGTCGTACCGGCTCAGCGCGTTCTCGCACGCCACCTCGATCCCCTCCCGCCACCCGGTGCTGAGCACCTGCTGGACGAGCTGCTCCGGGGCGCTCAGGGCCTCCTCGACCTGTTCCGAGTTCCGCATCTCCGCGCAGGTGAAGTTGAGGATGGCGCCGCCGTGCCGCGCCAGCATGCGCGCGATCGGCGCGTACCCGTCCCGGCCGCCGAGGTTGTAGTACCCGGCGGTCAGCTCCGCGGCGTGGCTCGGGTGCCTGTACCACCAGTGTATCCCGGACACCTGCACCGCCAGACCCGTTCGCTTCAATTCCCGAGGCAATTCAGCTGAACACTGTTTGGGTGATCGAGAGCGGGACGCACTTTTGCGGCGAGCTTGACCTTGCACCCCAGGAAGGCCTTGTTGGCCTCATCCAAGACCCTGTCGCCGTGCTGGATCAGCTTGCTGGAGTACCAAGTCAGGAAGAACCTCCCCTGCTCGGTGAGGTAGGTCCCTCGCTCCGCCGCGAAGAACCCCGTGTCGTCCGGCGTGTCGTTGATCTCCCCAGCGTCGTCGGGTAGCTCCCAGTCTGGGTGCCCGGCCGCCGTCGCCGCCGCCTTGAAATCCGCCTCCAGGTACTTGTCGTAGCACTGCGACAGTAGTGTAGTGCGCTAGTTCTGAATCACCGGTGCAACTACAGCAGACGGCCAGAGAGATTGCACGATGAGTTTACCTGGAACTGTCCGATGCCCGGGAACACCCAGCCCTGCGTCTCCGGGTAAGACGGGTACCTCAGCTCCCCTGCAGGGCCAAGCCCGACCTCGATGTCCACGATCAGGCCAGAGTCCAGGAAATCCGCCATGTTCTCCCTGAAGCTCTTCATGAAATCGGCGTACAACTGTCGTCGCCATATAAACAACGCACAACTAGATTTTGGTTAGCTAGTGTCAGCGACATGCAGCATGTTCGCTTGATCGTAAACGATCGTGGATTATAAGTCAGAACAGTATTTTTCTCTCACACCAAATCAGTCATCAATAATAATCCACGATCGTTTCAGCCGAAACGACCAAGCTGATGAATTTGCTTCCATTTAGTAACAATAACCATGCCATCAGCACTGTGAATGCCCGACCGACCTGGATGGCCGTCCTGCCATAGAACAGCGGCTCGTCATCGACGCCAATGGTGAGGTACTCCTGGTTCCGTGCCCCTGTGGAGCTCGTGTAAAACACGTCGGGGTCGCCCTCGCCGACCTCCCTTACCCAGCGGGGGATCGGGATGTTGACGGCGTCGCCGACGTTGCCGCCGCACGCGTGGAACGACATGATGGCCTGCAGCTTGAGCCCCTGCGCCTGCACGATCCGGAACAGCTCCCGGTACGCGCGCCACTCGTACAGCGCCGGGCCGGCGCCCTCCACGATGCCCCACCACACGTCCACCATCACGCCGTCCACGCCGGCCTCCCGCAGCCGCCGCAGCTGCGCCCGCAGCTTCCCCGCGTCCTCCAGCTCGTTCTCCGTGGTCACCACTTCCAACTGCCACGTACGCGCATGCATCGTGTTGTGATGTTGTGGTCATGGACATTGGACAGTCACAGTGAAGCAACATGATCGATTTTGGCAGGCGTCTCTGACGGAATTTTTAGCTTACTGGGAGCATGACGTAGACCGGGACGTAGTTGCGGAGCATCGCCTCCTCCTCGTCGCTGAACAGTGGCGGAGGCTGCCGCGAGGAACAAGGCGATCCGTGAACAAGCTCGAAGCATTAAACATTTCAGTATAGTTAACTGCGCATGCACGAACGCAGACGCACCTGTGGCACGGGAGACCTTTCCGCGGGCTCGGTGTCCACAGGGCCAAGCGCGGCGGAGGCAACCGTCGTCGTCCTCATCCTGGACTCGACGGCGACAAGCCGTCCGGCGGCCGGTGACGGCGGAAGAAGCGCCGCGGACGATGCCACGCTGATCCGGCACGTAGCCCATTGTTGCGGCTTCACCTGAGACGACGGCGAGGCCGTCAGCATGATGCACTTAGAAATTCTGTCTCGTCCTTTAAATGTTCAGCTGCCAAATTCAGCGTAGTTCGAAATGGATGCCTTGTGGCTTTGGGGATATATGAGTGGCGGTCCTTGGTGCGCCATGGGCCCATGGCATCTGCGTGACACACTCACTTTCTCTCTCTCTCTCACACACACACAAATTTGTTCCGTTTCGGCGATCGATGTGCTGCCGGGGAAGACACGAGAGCCTGGCGATCTGCTGGTGGTTGCGACCTTCAGAAGGGTGTGGTTCGTGTGAACCGCATGTGCAGTGTGCGTGTGTGCCTCTGGTTTCTCATCAGAGGTCTTCCTTGCTCTTCCCGTATATTTTCGCATGCATTCTCTTTTCGTGTGTAATAATATAACTTTGGGTCCCGCCGCAGAGAACGTGCCAGTGAGGCCGTGACTATTGGGGTGGTTGTCTGTTCTTTCATTTTCTTTTGGCTCTGCGCGATGATAGCGCTAGCAACGGTGTGGATTCAACTGGAAACCAACGCCCCGGTCTTATTTAGCTTATAAGTCATAGCTAAAAGTATTGTTGACTGATTTGGTGTGAGAAAAAATACTGTTTATTAGCTGATAAGCCATGACTTATAATTCAAATATGACTAAGCGAACAGGCTGCAAAATGTGTATGCTTCAAGTCGTATTGTTGACGCTAAACCTTTTTAAAAAAATTGTTGGCACTAAAAGAACATATATAGTAACTTTTTACCCTAGGTGAGCAAAGGAAACGCAGGACCCCAGAGGACAAGGACGGGCTCAAGTTCAATGATTGAATATTTGTTACATCCAATTCACCCTTTGAACTACTCCTTTGGTCCAAAAGGAATACACATCTCATTTTTCAATAATTCAAATCAATGCCGAAGTTAACTAAATATACAGAAAAATACAATTCCCTCCGTTCCAAATTATAAGTCGCTTTGATTTTTTTAGTACATTCATTTTGCTATGTATCTAGCAAACTTGATGTACCCAAAAAGTCAAAGCGACTTATAATTTGGAACGAATGGAGTACTATTTATGATACCAAATAGGCATCATTAATTTAATCCTGCAAAGTACTTACTTTGCCATTGATTAAATTAATCTATGGGCTGAGGGTTTACCTCAGATTAAATCCATTTCCAGAGTCTAGCCTTTTTATATTTTTCCTTGAGGTCGCCAGGAGTTTGGTCATGGTACTCCTCGAAACAATACCTAACTCATGAAGCAAATTGGTGGGGGTCAGTTGAGTTTTTTTAGTTAAAAACTGGTGCCACACTTAAGAGGCATCACCGATTGTACAATTAAAAGATGGAGGTTAGATTAATGAAGGGGCATTGTGGCCCTTTGTTTTTAGCACTGATCTGTCCTAAACTTTCTATAAGTTGATTTAATCAAGGGCGGATGGAATATTTTCATACTAAGCCAATTTAGAGATACAAAAGTTGATACTCCCACCATTTAAATCATAAGGCGTTTTGACTTTTTAGATGTATAGCTTTTGCTATGTACTTAGATATATACTGTGTTTAAATAAATAGTTAAAGCGATTTATCTAGAAAAAACAAAATGTCTTATAATTTGGAATGGGGGGGGGTTCTATTTTATATAACAGGTAAAATTTAAAACTGTTTGACTTGTCAAAAAGTGGGATATGTATTATTTTTGTGATGAAAAAAATATTTAATTAGTATCCAACTAAAACCAAGCTTTGCTTAGATATTTAGTGGAGAAGGTTGTACCTCTTGCATGTCTCATTAAAATATATATTGCTCATTTTAATGTATGAGACATGCGAGGTACCTCGTTTATACCAACATCTCTCAACCTAGTCCGCCATAATCATTGATAGGTGTGATTATGAGCGCATGCTTTACTATGTTTTAACAAAAATGATCAGCATTCAATGACTAAATACCTATGTAGTTGCAACTTTTATGCCACCAAGATATGTAAAGGTTTTAGACGATTGCTAATCAAGAATACTTTTCTCGTCCTCCATTGTGTACAATGAATAACTAACCTTGATACATTTTCTCTATAAGGTTCAATGGTCATGATCGTTATGGGCTAACGCTTTTACAATTGAGATTACAAAGAAAGTCTAGGAATAGCACATTAGGCCCATAAAACAGGAGAGAGCTCTTCTTACCTCTCAGAATTATCAATCTGATCTGATTTTTCTTCTGGAACTCTAAAACCAGACATCTTATCATCTTAACTCTTAGATAGAACTATTTAAATTACCTTCCTCCCCAGTTGGAAGCGGTTTCACTAATTTTTTATTCATTTTTTTGTAAGTAGCTAGTTAGTTTTTTAACCATGAAAGATGTAACTAAGCTTCTAAAAATTCCAAGAAATCCTAAAGCTAGATTATGACACTAAAAAATATGAAATTTTCCAAAATATTCTAATAGATGTATAAAAATATATTAAAAACCTCATAACAAAAACACAAGATTCAACCAACATGAATGTATTAAGCATTAAATCTATGTTGCATTCTTGTTTGTTGTACCTCGTATTTTTGTCATGGAAAGTTTTTAAAACATATTTGGACATCAATTAGAATGTTATGGAAAATTTTTAGTTTTTTCTTGATATTTTACCATTTTACTAGAGCTAAATATAATTTTTGGAAGGTATACTTTCATAAGATTTAAATATTTTATTTGACTTTTTAATATCCCAGTTTATCTTTATAATTTGATCTGTGTATTTATAAGTTTAGATATTTTTATGCAGTTTAAATATCTTATTAGGTGTTTACCATTTTTTAACTAAAAGAATAAAACCGTCTTGAAAACCACCTCTACCCTAGATAGGGAGATAATTCAAACAGTTTTGTAAATTGACATTGTAAAATTTTTGATTTTAAAGTTGTAGATTGAAAGTAAAACCACATATATACTCTCTTTGTCCAAAAAAAAATAAATCTAGGTTTTAGACAAGTTAAACTTTTTTAAATTTGAACATTTATGTCTCTAATTAGATCTACTATAAACCTATATTCTATAATATAACGATACTTATTTGCTATCATAGATGTTAATAGTTTTTTATATAAATCTGATTAAATTTAAATTGTTTGACTTATGATGATGTGAGAATTGTATATTCTTTTGGGCTTTGGGAGTAATTCTGAGGAGATAGAAGGGAACCTTCCCCATAAAATATCCTTCCAACCATTCAGCCCACCAGCCCACGGCCCATAATCCGTACTCGTGAACCTCGTGCTCACACAATTACTCGAAACTCCGCTGAGCTTCAATCCTATCTCGGCGAGTCGGCGTCGGAGCCCACGACCGCTTCCACCACAGTCCCCACCGCCCTCGACCCCGAATCCCCCAATCCCTGACGCGACCGCTGAACCCTAGCCTACTCCGGCCATCTGCCGCTGGCCCCGGCGATCCCCCGCCATGGCCTCCCCCGAGGGAACCACTTGGGTCTTCGACTGTCCCCTCATGGACGACCTCGCGGTGGCCGCCGACTTCGCGGCAGCCCCCGCGGGGGGATTTTTCTGGGCGGCGCCACCGTCGCTGCAGCCGCAGGTGGTGCAGGCGCCGGTGCAGTCTGTCGTTGCCGCGTCCGCTCCCAACCCATGGTAATTGCTGTAGTACGGTCCCAATTTGGGCTCGGCATCGGCCGTGATGGATTTCGGGGTTTGGGTTACATTTGGTCGGGTTCGTTGCCAAGAAATGTATGGATTCTTCATGTATAATAGTTTGTTGTATGGACCATGGCTTAATTGGAGTTCGATGAAGCGGCTGAACGGTGGGATTTTGGACCGTGTACTAGGAATCGTGTATGCGCAACAGAACAAGTAGAACTAGTTACACGGGCCCTCTCTGTTTACAATTTCCTATATCAGCGTGGCCCTGTGGAAGTGTGGATGGCGTGGGCTCTGTGTTGGTTCTGCTTCTGCTAGTAGAGCTATGTGAGAGGACTGAGGAAATGGTTCACACTGGATGGGTCAGTGGACCTTTACTGTAAGTTCTAAGTGGCACGGTGGAAAGGACTGTTCACATCTTATTGTGTTCAGCTGCTGGGTAGGTGCATATAGGTAGTATTACAGTTCCTCATCTAGCTTAGATGGGCCTTTGTGCACACATTATTGTGTCATCTATACTCCCTCCGGTCACAAAAAAACATGTCGCCGTTGAAAATATTAAGTCAAACCTTAGAAACTACAAACATTGATAACTATTACATTATTTATTTGGAAACATGTAACGATGTAAGTTTTATGTGTAGATTTGTATTCAAAATACTTGCAAAATCTCTTAAATTTGAAGAATTTATTCTATTAAAAAAATAGTGGTCAAAGATACGCAATGAAGACCACTCCAAGTCAAATGTGTCAACTATTCTTGTTCGGAGATAGTAGTTTGCAGAATCTGTTAGAAACATACAGTCCCCATTCTGCAATCAACTTGTGGCTGCTCTATTGTTGGACCTTTATATGGCTAGTTACTACCCTTGTTCACAGGGAAGAATAGATAATTTTTCTCTTTGGTCAATATATTCTGGATTGAAAACGTACGATGCTCTCTTGGTTCATCTGTCAGTCTGCAGCAGAAAAGGATTGCAGACATGGAATCTGCACTCAAGTTGTTGTAATTGAATCCTTCATGATTGGTGTGAAGAGGAATAGAGGATTGCCATATTGTGCTGGAGTTTTGATAGCTTCGGTTCTTTTGTGAACTGACGTCCTGTCTGGTTGAGCTTGCTCTTTAATATTGTGTGCTGTCTATGGTAAATTCTTCTTCTATTTTTTTCCCATGGATATTTCGTTAGGTGTAGTTTGTGGGGTTATGACTTGCTATTTGCTAAGTTGAAATGCCCCAAGCAGTGAATTTTATTTACTAATTATTATCTTAGATTTGCTTGCATAAATATTTTGTTTACATGTTATGTTATTTGTTTTTTTTTTGCTGCTTATTATGGTGCATTATCTTGATATTTGGCATCCTAAAATTGGTTTTTATTTTAGCAGTGTGGAAATCAGTAGCTCTGTGGACTGTGGTCAGGGAAAAGAACAGCCAACAAATAAACGGTTTGTATCTTTATTCTCTGTAGTCTGTATCGCGTATTGCAGCCATACATTTTAAAGTTTGTGTTCCTATTATCATTGAATGTTCAATATTCCAGTCCTAGGTCAGAAAGTACTGCAGAACCAAGCACAAAAGCATCCAGGGAGAAGATTAGAAGGGACAAGCTGAACGAGAGGCATGTTCCCTGGCGAGACAATGATTGCATTTCAGTTCATAGTTTAATCTTCCTTTCTCATGACATTATATTCTTTAACTATAACTGTACTTATGATATTCTTTTTGTTAGATTCCTGGAATTGGGTGCCATTTTGGAGCCAGGGAAAACTCCTAAAATGGACAAATCAGCTATATTAAATGATGCTATTCGTGTAGTAGGTGAATTGCGTAGCGAAGCAAAAAAGCTCAAGGATTCAAATGAGAGTCTCCAAGAGAAGATTAAAGAGCTGAAGGTCTATCCTATTTCATATGGCCAAGCTATTAATGGTGCTGTTCAGATGGGAGATGGCACGCGATTTGTTGTTTAGGCACTTCATACTGTTTCATTTTCTTGATTTATGATCCCCTTTTCCCATTTGGTCATTTTTTTCTTATCTACATTTAATTCATCCAGTCAAATAACAAGGGAATAGTTATTTGTACACCTGTTATTCTCCCTGCAGTTTGTGGTTTAACTTCTTTTGGGTTGCTTGCAGTAGAAAGTTTATATCCACATAATGCATTTTTCTTAAATGGCTAAACCCTGCAGCTGTATATACAATATGGACAACACGTCAATTTGCTAACTCATTGCTGTACTGTATACACTTCGTTGCTGGATATGTGTTCCATAAAATATCTAGAGGTTTATGATTCAGCATATCTTTTACTGCAAAAGGTTTTGGCATTTGATTTTGCCGGTTATTAATCAGAAAAACAATATCACCCTGAAGTACTTTGCTTTTGCAGGCTGAGAAGAATGAGCTGCGAGACGAGAAGCAAAGGCTGAAGGCCGAGAAGGAGAGCCTGGAGCAGCAGATCAAGTTTCTGAATGCCCGCCCAAGCCTGGTACCACACCACCCGGTGATCCCAGCCTCTGCCTTTGCAGCTCCTCAGGGGCCGGCAGCGGCCGGGCACAAGCTGATGATGCCTGTGATTGGCTACCCTGGATTCCCGATGTGGCAGTTCATGCCGCCTTCGAATGTTGACACCTCTGATGACCCCAAGTCTTGCCCTCCTGTGGCGTAAGCAAGTTAAATCCTGGTGGAAAGAGGCGATGCTGCCCTCCATTGAGTCTAGATCGGTCCGCAGTGTTGTTGGTGTAGTTGACTCCAGAACTGAAGGGAAGGTTATATGTGTCGGACGATGACATGGGGTGATCTGATGACCCCTTTGTATATTATATGGTATAAATAAATTCCGTGACCAGAAGCAAATGAGGATTAGCCGATTAGCTTATGTCTATTCTTGCCTGTTTGTCGTCGTATAACCCACGATGTGGCTCTGGTTAGGTTATGGCTATGTTTCTTGGACCTGAGCTGTCTTCGTGTTCATCACTTGTGAAAACTCATGACGGCTGTTGGTAGAAGTGGAAGCATCAAGGATGCGCATTACATGCTAGCTGTGCGTTTGGTATAGCGTGAACGTGATCGCCTGTTAACAAGACGTGCCCGCCATTAACCATGTTCCTCTGCCTGAAATGATATGCGTATCAGTCTTCTTTCTGCTTAAGAAAGATCATTGGATCCAGGCTTTTGTTTGGCTTTGGCTTATAAGTCATGACTGAAATTACTGTTGGCTAATTTGGTGTGAGAGAAAAATGTTGTTCGTTGACTGATAAGCTATGGCTTATAAGCCGAATACGACCAAGCGAACATGTACTTTGTAAAGCCAAATTCATATTTCTGAACTGTTTGGAAAACATTAGATCGTTTTCTTGTACATAGCAAGAAGGTATAATATCTGACTCGAACTCGGAAATACTGTTCCGTCTTGCAACATATTTCTGAAATGGATTCACTGACGACATAACCAATGCCGCAATGCGGGCCTCAAAATGGAATTATAATAAGAAGTAAATGTCACAATGTACACCCATATACCAAATGTAAATACACGACAAAAGTAAAAAGAAGAAAAGAAATGAATATTAAAGGTAAATACAACTTAGATACCGCGTGTACGCACGCAGTAACAAATGTCCAGTTTCAGGTACAGTAGTAACTCAAAACTACAACGTGCGTGCAGATACGCGCACGTTGCTAGCTTAGGCGACCGAGGCCACCAGAGCAGCCAACGCCAGCCCGGCTACAGCGGCCACGGGCTGCCCATACCGCGGCGCGTTGCTAGGCGCGCCCGCCGGCGACTTCCCGGCAGCGCCACCCATGGCCACCTTGTATCCCGCCGGCCCCGGCGCGTAGGCGTCGGCTGGAGGCGACTGGAGCGGAGCCTGCGCGGGGCCGCTTGCGGGGGCGTCGTCGGCTGTCGCCGCGGCGGCGGCGGCGGCGGCGTCGTAGGGGACGGTGGTGATCATGACGTGCATGGTGCCGTTGAGGCAGTGGCGCGGGATGCCGCAGATGAAGTAGCGGGTGCCCGTGGCGGTGAGCTTGAAGGCGGTGTTGCCGCCGGAGTGGGTGGAGATGGGGCTGTCCGCGTTGCAGCTGGCGTAGTCCGCCGTCGTCACCTCCAGCACGTTGTGGTACGGCATGTACTTGAACGCTGCAGTTAACGTATTATTACACACCACATCAGCCACAAGCCCACAAGACGGGAAGGAATGTACAGATAAGTGAAGAGAGCTGGCATCGGAGTAGAGTGGCACGCACTTATGGTGTCGCCGACCATGAACTTCTTGCCGGCGGTCCACTTGTCGTAGTCGATGTAGGTGTCCCACTGGTCCGAGCCGCCCACCGTGTAGTCCTTGGCCGACGCCGTCGCGGCCAACGCCGCAACCGCCACTGCGGCGAGCAGTGCTGTTCTGGAGATGATCTTCATGTTCCCCGTGTCCTCGAGTGGTGTCGACCGAATTGCTTCGGCGTCGGGTCGGTATATATGCCTTTGGATATATAGCGTGTGCTGCGATATATTGCCACAGCAAAGCTGATAGGACCATATATATAAGGAGGCAGAGAACATGCAGCAAAGAAATTCCCTTTCTTTGCCAAACGGAGTAGTGTTTGTGGCCGACCATGAAACACATACCTGTAGCAGGGAGAAGACACACTACCAGTTGGAGAATCTGGTGGGTATACACGCTCTGTTCAATTTTCAAATGAATTTTGGAATAGAAATGATTAACTGTACACTGCACCTGAGACGTTTAGTGCTAGGCGTGAACCATCCTTGCATTGTTGAGGCTGCAAGGTCAATGGAAGACCGAAGATGGTATGTTTATAGTTTGACCTTGGAGAGCCACAAGTGTGATTTCGGTTCCCCGCCTCGCCTTTGATTCGGTGCACTACGTGAGCACGACTACACAGGTCCACTGATTGCTTCCTCCTGGATCTGCAGATCGCGAGGGGCTCTCGATTGAGGTCGTGCCTCGCATGATCCTCGAAAAATTTCTTGCTATTATCTATTTTCAATCTGTTCATCAGCGCATAATGCATGGAATGCTTTGCAGGCCGACTTCATTATCATCACTCGTAGTGATCTTCTTCTCGAGGAGATCGCTCCCGCTCATAATCTCTTGTGGTAAGCTGGTATGGGTACTGGGTAGCCTCAAACTGACAGTCTGACACCCCGAATAGTTTTGCTGCACTGGTGCTCCCGGTGTTTGTTCATCTTCGCTCCTCTAGAATAGTAAGACTGGACCACTGAATTGCTAGTACATTTTCGTTTCGAGCTGATTGCCACTTGCAAATTAAACTTGTTGTGGTTCGATGAGCATGCATGCGATCCCGTCTCGCCCTCGCGTCGCCTCTAAGGCGACTCGGGGGCCTCTCGCAGCTGCCCCGGCCGCCGTCGCCGCTCCTCCGGCTTGCGGTGACGGCGGCCCACGGTGGCGCTGCTCATAACGGCAGTGGCCGCACCTTCCTCCCCCTCTCTTCCCCCCCTCCACCCCCACGCCCTCCCCGAGCTCCCCCTCAGCCGGCGCCGCTTCTGGGGGTCGATCTGCCGGCATCTCTGCCTGGTGGCAGCTGGATCCGGCGGCCGGGCCCTCCCCTTGGTCGGTGGCGGCTGGATTTGGCGGTTGCGCCCGCCCCGGTCCGGTGCCGGCCGGATCCGGTGGCCGCGCCCGCCCCCTCGGCAGTTGGCGGCCAGATCCGGTGGCCGTGCCCGTCCCCTAGCCGGTGGCGGCCAGATCCGGCGGCCGTGCCCGCCCCATGACCAGTGCCGGCCAGTTCCGGCGGCAGCGCCCGCCCCTAGCAGTTCCGGCCGCCGCGCCCGCCCGTTGGCCGGTGGTGCGGCCGCGCCCGCCCTTTGGCCGGTGGCGGTCCGGCGGGCGCGCCCCGTGCTATGCGCGGTGGTGGTCTGGCTGGCCTGCTGTGGTCGGCCATGGCCATGGATCCGTGGTCGGTGCGTCGTCCTTGGCCTCTGCGCGGTGGGGCCCGCCGTCATGGCCGCGTTGCCGTTGCCGGGATGCATGGAGTCTGTGGCGAAAGTTCAGTTTGGCTTTGCCCGGGCAGACGATGATGACGCCTCTGGCGCCACTTACCTCCTTGGGGGCATCGTTGTTGAACTCCATGCTTCTTGCCGATGGCGTCGGATACTGGGAGTAAATCCTGCCTGACAAGCTGTAAGGCCAGCGTCGATTGCGTCCATGGGTCACCTTGGGCGTCAACTCCTTCTTGAAGGCGTCGCCGTAGAATCCCTCAGGCTCGCCCCCCGTGTGGTCGCCGACACCTGCACCCCCTCCCGGGCCGTTGGCTTCTGGTGGAGCCCCTTGCTGAGCCTGTATGTGCCCATATTCTACTAGCAATGGTTCGTCCTGCAGCAATCGACCTTGCCGTCGTCGTTTGGCTTTCATAGCGGATGCTCTGCCGCTATCGCTTCCTCTAGCAGGTGCTTTGCTGCCATTGTCGACGTTGGTCTCTGCTCTGGAGATGTTGGCTGTCGAGTGTGTCATGGCCGTTCCCTGTGGATGCTTTTTTGCCGCAGTGGGTGTCGTCGTTTCTTCCCCGGCGAATGCTTGGCCGTCGGTGGATTTCCGGGCGGATGCTTTGCCGCCACTGCTATTTGGCGGATACTTGGCCGCCGTGTTGCTGGCTGCTGCTTTGCCACCGTTGCTGCTTGTGTGGATACTTTGCCACCATGGCGTTGTCTTGTTTGTAGGCGACCATTGTGTTGTTGTACCTTTTGCAGGCTCAGTTGGTAGGTTTCGGGTTTTGAGCACAGTCGCTCTTTCTTTTTCTCTTCTTTTGTTGTTCTTATAAGTTGTATTCCAGATTATCAACCACTTGGTGGTTTGTAATCCGTGCTACGAGGACTCTCTTGTAGCTGCGTCGTGTAATTCTCTTCGTCTTAATAATAAACGGAATATATTCCCGGGTCGCGAAAAGCCGTCGTCCTGCCTCTGCTGCAGCCTGAAACCCCCCTTAAATTACTCCGAGATGGTTTTACCAGCCTGGCTTATCAGCTATGGTACAATATTTTTCTCTCACAACAAATCAGCGAACAGTACTTTTCAGCCTGACTTTTCAGCGAAGCGAACAGTGGCTTTGTTGCACTGATGAGTGGTAGTCAACAAGTGGGCCTCCAGTCGCCCGGGCCACTGCGCGGAGACCTCCGCAAGCAATCCATAGCTCGTGGCCCGGTGTGGGGAGTAGGAGGAACCGAGGCGTTCGGTGGCCAGGGGCGAAACTGCGCGGCGTGGGTCGGCGGCGTGACAGCACTGGGCCGTTGCGTGATTCGTGCCGCGACTGGGGATAATAAAAGGAGCTTTTTAGCTGGCCCCGGAAAAAATACATCCTCCTTGTAGGCCCTTTTATTTTAAAACTTACCTATATAGCCTCAAAACAAAATTCCATTTCTTCTATGGCCTTTCGTCCGATTTTGATGGTGTTAAGTCTAGGGTAAAATGACCATTATACCCCTGGCGAAAAAATAAAATACAGAGTTTTATTTGTTTGTTGTACATTTGAAGTAATATTACACAAATGAGTTTATATATAACAGTACATAATAAGACACGTAATCAAGTACACAAATACATAATCATATACTAGATATATGCCCGTGTGTTGCATAGGGGTCACATATTTTTGTCCGGCATACGGCAACACACGTGACTTACGGCTTAAAGGAACATATTGGCCCTGTTCGTTTCGCTGAAAAAACATGTGAGAGAAAAACACTGTTCCGGCTGAAAAAACAAGCTGAAAAGTACGAATTATAAGAGAAGCGAACAGGGCCATTAAGTAATTTATAAATCTAATTACATAGAGAATATAAAGCTCGTTTCTTGATTTTTATCACCTATATTGTAAAAATAAGGATTAAGTCCATTTTTGGCCCCTCAACTATTGTGTTTGTTTAATTTTAACTCTCAACTACAAAACCGTCTAGTACTGGTACCTTAACTGTCAAAACCGTTCACTTTTAGCACCTGACGCGGGGACAAGGCTGTTTTGACCGATGTTGAGCGGTTTTGACCACGCGTGCATTTTACATAAGAGACCCTGGATTTTCATGAAACTAACCTTCACTCCATACTACTATTCACGTGAGCCATAACATTTGTATTTAGCACCCATAAAAATCTCGTCTTCACCTTTCCCGGTGCCTCGGCGGCTGCAGAGGAGAGCATGCCACAGGGGGCGACGCCGGCGGCCAATCCGGCCGGGAGGAGGCTCGCCGGCGGCGAGGGAGGGAGGCGCGAGGAGCGCACAGCCCACGCGGCTCCAGAGCAGAGCAAGCAGCAGCACAGCGGGCAGCAAGCAGCAGCTGTGACGATCGCCGTCGTGGCCGCGCCGCCGGACGCCATGCTGCCGATGTGCTTGTACACGAACGGCTCCCCGAGGTCGGCCTTGCCGGCGCAGTGCGCCTTGCCGCCGTTCTGCCCCGCGACCCTCCCGAGCAGCCGCGCCAGGTAGCGGCCCTCCCGCTCCGCGACCTGAGCCAACGCCGGGAGCACCGGCTTGCCGGTCCCCTCCAGGAACCCCGCGCAGTCGCCCAGCGCGAACACGTCCGGGGCCGTGGGCACGCGGAGCCACTCGTCCACGCCGATCCTACCGCCAGGGGACTTGGGCAGGTCCAGGGACTTGACGAACTCCGACGGGCCGACGCCCGTGGACCAGACCAGCAGGCCGTAGGGCACGCGGGTGCCGATATCGAACGATGACAAGATCTCGTTTGCCTGGAAAGAACAGGTCATAAACGATGAGATGATCAGAAACTTCTTCAGTAAGTCCGATCGATGCATATATACTAATACTCTAGATTATGTATGCAATCGGTTCATGAGGTGCACTGAGTACGTACCTCGATGAGGGTGACCTTGACGTAGTCCTTGACGTGCGCGTACCTCTGGCGCACGTCGCGCGTGATGAAGTCACTGAGCTCACCGCTGAACTCGACGCCGGTGGGGTCTCCGCCGACGACCACGCAATGCAGGAGCCGCTGCTTCTCTTCGTCAAACAAGCCTAGAGAGCACAGTGCTTGATCATCATCACAGCCAAAGTTTGCAATGCGTGCAAGCTAATAATGATCAATGCGCGTAACTAATGATGATGAAGGGCGGGTGGCGAGCGCCGACTGGATGCGGCTGACGGGCTCGACGACGGAGCGGAACTCGAGCGTGCCGACGCACGTGGACGCCAGCAGCGGCGTGAACACCATGTGGTTCCGGGGGGACACGCACACGACGTCGTAGGCGCGCGTGTCCACGTCCTTGAGCAGCCGGCACGCCGCCCACCCGGTGCCCAGGACCACGACGCGGGGCTTCTCCCCTGGCCGCGTCGGGCCGAGGCTCGGCATCTGGCGAGGCGGCGCCGTCACAGGCTCGTGTTCCCTCGTCTCCGCGTCCGAGAGCTCCGCCGCCGCCATCTACGGAGTAGCTGCTTCAAGTGTGCGAGGAAGTACAGTATCTATCAGAGAAGGGCCTGCAAAACGGAAGTCCAGCCAAATTGCATTCAGCAATGTGTGCATAACTGAACAAATCTGCACGAGGCAGCAGACCGCGGCGTGGACGAGGCCGTGCGGGGCGAGGTCCGCGAGCAGCGCGGCTGGGTCGGTGACGTCGGAGAAGACGACCTGGGCCGGGGCGAGGTCCGCGACGACGTCCTCGGGGAGTTGCGGCCGCGGATGCCGCTCCGGGACCGCGCCACGGCGAGCACGCGGTGGCCCCGGCGGAGGAGCTCCCGGACGACGTAGCGGCCGATGTAGCCCGTAGCGCCCGTGACAAGGACCGTGTCGGAGGCCGCTTCCGCCTCGCCGCACCCCGTCGTGGTCTACTTCCACGGCGGCGCCTTCGCGCTGCTCTCCGCGGCCTCGGTCCCCTCGACGCCATGTGCCGCCGGTTCTGCCGCGAGCTGGGCGCCGTCGTCGTGTCCGTCGACTACCATCTCGCCCCCGAGCACCGCTGCCCCGCCGCGTACGAGGACGGCGTCGACGTGCTCTGGCACCTCGCTTCCGCAGGCCTTCCCGACGGCGTCACCGTCCCAGTGGACCTCTCCCGCTGCTTCCTCGCCGGGGACAGCGCCGGCGCCAACATCGCCCACCACTTGGGCGTCGTCCTGGTGCAGCCGTACTTGGGCGGCGAGGAGCGGACAGACGCGGAGGCCAGACTGGACGGGAAGGTGCCGGTGGTGACCGTGCGGGGCTCGGACCAGATGCGGTCAAAACCGCTAACGTCGGTCAAAACAGCCTTCTCCCGCGTCGGTGTTAAAAGTGAACGGTTTTGATAGTTGGGGTACTTGATCTACTAAACAATTTTGTAGTTGAGGGTTAAAATTAGACCAAACACAATAGTTGAGGGCCAAAAGTGAACTTAATCCTAAAATAATACTTGAGCGTGATAATGACAACATCACTGATACATGACTCTTCATGAAAGATGAACGATTAGGATATAATTCAAGTTTTGATGTAGATCCTTTTAGTTATTTCATTCTTGCATGTATTAGTAGAGATGGCAACAGTATGTTCACTAAACAACCTGGCAAACATGCTTAGGTAAATTCAGTTGAAACCTGATGTCGCCTAAAATGTATGTCCTGCAGGTGGATCGATTGAAAAAATCACAGGTGGATGTATACGTAGTTGAGTTGATGCATCCTTGAACGCTCGTTAGCAGGTTGGTTCACGCTCAAGAGAAAACGTTTCCTGAGGTCTTGTCCAGTAAACGTTGTGGTCGATATCCGTCGTGTAGATGTCAGGTAGACGCTGAGGCCTGTTGATGGCTAACTGGACGAGATACGCGCCGCGCACCACCGTTTTGGAGCCAGACACCAGGATGCATCTGGAGAGGGAGAAGCTTATTGCGCAAGCACGGGGGAGGGAATCGTGGCCGAGCGGAAGGGAGGTCGCGGCCTGCGCGGGAAGCCGGGCGTAGGAGGAGACGCGGGCTCGCGGCACGGCCCGCGGGGGAGAAGGGAGTCGCGGCGTGCTGGGAGGAGTTTTGGTTGCAGCGATCACGTACGTATCTGAAATTCTCGTACGGTTCACATGTACGTATCTGAAATCCTCATATGGTACGGTTTGTATACGGGCTGGGCTGCCTACGGGGTGGACGCCGTCTCGCGATTTCGGACATCTGGCGTGGAGGCGTGTGGACTTTGGACGTTTAGTGCACAGAAACGCTGACCGGATAGTATACGGATTTGATATCATCATGTAATAATTACTTTAGTCTTCTAGATAGATATACGTGGATTCCTTCCTGGACCACGTGCGTGTGGATGCATTGGCGTGTCCCGGTATGTACACGTACGTGTGACCGCGTATGTATACTCCAGCTGAGCAGAGTCCATTATTTGCGTCGAAAGGGATGAAGGCGCCTGACAGGTCATGCAGCTCGTGCCCCGACGCACCTCATTCACTATTCGTAGATTCGGATAATGCGGCTCTTGGTGTTTTTTTTATCATGTCACGCATGCAAGCAAGCGCGCGTGTGATTAAATATGAGAGTATATTCTTCTGATTTTTATGGCCGGTTTTATGTTCCTTTTATTTATGGCCGGTTTTGTGATTATGTATTTGTGTACTTGATTATGTGTCTTATTATATACTATTATATATAAACTTATTTACGTAATATTACTCTAGATGTACGATAGACAAACAAAATTTTGAATTTTATTTTTTTTCCGCTAGGGGTGGTTATTTTACCTTGGACTTAACACTATTAAATGTTAAAATCGGATGGAAGACCATAGAAGGAAGGGAAAAAGGGCCTCTACAAGGAATATATATTTTTTCATGGCCATATGTAGGTAAAAAGCTCTAATAAAAAGGAACGGTTTTGGGACGTGCTGCGTTCAACGGCGCTGGAGTGGGCCAAAAGCTCGCCCTACATACATGTCCGGGCGAAAATATGCGGTGTGCACAACGCGGAAGGCTCCAATGAAAGGCAGACGGCAGAGACGGCAGCATGGCCAGTGGCCACAGTGGCCGTGCCTGCCTGCCTCACCACTCTCGCCAATGGCAAGTTGGCAACAGGGCGGCCTACCCGCCATGGTGACAGGTGACAGGTTCATCCCCCCGATGCTCTGCTACTCGTGCGATGGAAGATCGCTCGGGCTACGTTCGGCTGCTAGTAAAACCGTGTGATTTGTACGGCTGATTTATCGAGGCATAATGACTTATAACGACAGCGGAACGCTCCCGACGACGACGCTACTGCATGCTGCCGGCCAACAAAAGGCGAATAATAGAAAGAGACGACGGCGTGTGATTCTTGCCATGGTTCCGAAACGATGTAGTAGCATCCAAACACACAAGGCCTTCGCCTCCATGATGCGATGCGTAGGGCACATCCCGAAAGCCACCGGTGTCCGCCGCGCTCGGTTGGACCACCCGTTCGTTCGTCTCGTGTGCAGCGGTGGGCGCTGCAAACACTGTACTAGAAGCTGAGGTGGTTGACGACTCGGCGACGGCGCGGCACCCTTGAGGTGGCTGAGCGCCTGAGCCGTTGAGGTATGTGCTCATGTGGATGTGGACCTTTGAACATTGAACGTACTGTACAGCATTTTCATGTACTACGTTCTTTTCTTCTATAGTGCGTGTGTGTACTAGCAGCTGGGACTTCGGGGGCGACCTGACCTCCCTCTACTTTATTCTGTGCACAACTCGCAGCCGTCTCCACGACTGAAGAAAACCACCAGCCACGCCGCTGTCTTCTGTTCCCGCAAGCTATCATTGTGCTTTGCCGCACCATCATGTCCGGTGACGTCGACGGCCCAGGCTTTGTTTAGTTGTTTAATCCATCCACCTTCCAGTGGATGCCATGCCATGCCTAATTGTTTAGTTTAATCCATCACACTCGAGAATCGATCAAAATATTACCGACCACTCGGGAATCCACCTTGAGCAACCAAAATGACACTCTCATCTTCGTGCAAGCTGACACTGCTCAGTTGAACAATCTCAAAGCTCTTCTCATTTCTTTCGCTGCCTCTTCTGGTCTCAAGGTGAATTTTGATAAATCACTGATGCTCCCGGTTAATCTATCAGCTACCAGGTTAGATGAGTTGGCTGCTAATTTTGGTTGCTCCAAGGGTACTCTCCCTTTTACATATTTGGGTCTTCCTCTTAACCTCACCAAACCCTCGGTGGCAGACTTTTGGCCCTTGGTTTCCAAGTGTGAAAGGAGGCTTGCAACTTTTTTCAATATTTTGTCAGATGCAGGTAGGCTTCAAATGACAAATGGCCCTCCCCACTTACACTATTTGCACATATCTTCTGCCCAAAACAGTTATTAAGCAAATTGACAAGTTTAGAAAGCACTGTCTTTGGAGAGGTTCAGATGCTAATAATAGAAAACCACCCAAAAGCAGCCTGGCCAATGGTACGTGTGCCAAAGACAGGAGGAGGGTTGAATGTCATCAATCTCAGAGTTCAGAATGAAAGCCTCCTCCTCAAACATCTGCACAAATTTTATAGTCACATGGATATTCCCTGGGTTCAGCTTGTTTGGAGGAAATACTATGCTGCCAACAGACTGCCTGCTCTTCAGGGTCCCAGAGAGGTTCCTTCTGGTGCCGTGATGTTCTTAAGCTGCTCCAACAATTCAAAGGTATATCTGTGGTTTCATTGCAGAATGGTGCAACCTGCTTACTCTGGCACGACCTTTGGGAGGGTAATATTTAGTCTCAGCCTTTTCCAGAGCTCTTTTCCTTCTGCAAGAATAGCAACATCACCTTTCAGTCAGCCATCCAAGCCCAGCACTTTCAAGATTTATTTCACTTACCCTTATCAAGATGCCCATGCCCAATTCTTGAAACTTTCCTTGATGCTTCAGAGCTACAACCTGAGGATATTTGGACCTACATTTAGGGTTCCTCTACTTTCACATCCATCAGAGCTTATAAACATCTAATTGGTCACCGTCAGGTACACCAAGGTTATCAGTGGCTATGGAAGTCTTCATGCCAAAACAAGAGAAAGTTTGTTTTTTTTTTTGGTTCTTCTAAAAGACAGGTTGAGTACTAGAGCCTTATTGAAGCGCAAGAACATGTATCTTGAGGATTATTCTTGTGTATCCTGCTCTTTGGATTATGAAGAAGATCTTCTTCATTTATTCTTTCACTGCCTCTTTGCTGTGAGCTGCTGGTACCGCCTGAACTTGATGGTTCCCAATTCATCCGATTTAGAAGGTTTGTTATAGAGCTTCAGATTACAACTTCGGGTTCCTTTCTTCATGGAAGTGATTATCACAATGTGTTGGGCAATCTGGACTATGCGCAATGATGCTATCTTCAGAAATCTTGATCCCTCGCTGCATCGTTGCAAGACTGTTTTCAAGCAGGAATTTGCCTTGGTTATCCTAAGGGCCAAGTCAAAATACCATCCTCACATTGACTAATGGCTAGAAGCCTTTGTGCAAT